TCGATAATTAAATGTGCTTAGTATACAGTTATAAATCTAATGCAACAATAGTTGTATGCTTACCCGAAACAGTTACATTAGTCCCTTGGATAATTTTAAATGGATCGTACAAATTTACCTAGTCAGTTTGATGTCCAGGGTATAACGGTTTTGGCATTTGACACAACTTTAAAATCTTATCCTAACGGCATTTTAGAAAATTATAAACAGCTTTTATGTTTACGGACAAAAAGCGTTTTGTTCAATACCCAGCTACCGCATTTGCGTTGGGCCAACGTATGCAAACACATCTCAAACGTCGGCTGTTTTCTGTGTATATATATATATATATATATATATATATTATATATATATATATATACATATATATATATATATATATATATATATATATATATATATATACTCTTGAATGGTAGTCAAAAAGAGTTTCCCATAAACTGTAGTTTTAAAGAGCGCGTTAATAAACCAGACCAAAAAAGTTTAAAAACTTAAATTTTTAAAATGATAGACTGATTTTTTTTTAAATGATAGACTTTTTTTTAAAAGATTTTTTTTTAAATGATAGACTGCCTGCCCAAACCAAACACTCAGTTGATGTAGCGGCACTTCCTTGCAAGGCAGGCTATTTGTCAGTCGTTGTAGCAGCACTCCCTTGCGAGTCAGGCTATTTGTCAGTCGATGTAGCAGCACTCCCTTGCGAGTCAGGCTATTTTTCAGTCGATGTAGCAGCACTCCGTTGCGATTTAAGACTATAAGATAGTTGATGTAGAAACACTCCCTTGTAGCAGCAGGCTATAAGATAGTCGATGTAGCAACATCTACGCATGTTTTAAAAATGTTTTTTAATAAAACAAAAACAAAAACACCACTCATTAAAAAAAACTTTCTAGTCGTATAGTACAATATTGTGAGATGGCCACAGCTTGTTTTTAATTTTTATTGTTGAATTAAAATAGTATATACTAAATTAGGATTCGCTTTCTCAACCTCTTATTTTGGGTTAACACTCTTTGTTCAACGATCTTTTATGTCCTGATGTTCAGAACAAATCTTTTTTTTTTGTAAATTTATGTTTTCAAAGTAGCTCAATGTTAAGATTAAGGGTAAATAGGTAATTCTAAGATTAAGGATAAACATTTTAAGTTAAAGGGTAAATAGTTACTAGTTTTTAGATTATGGACTGGTAAACAATTAAAACAATCCTTTTTTTTAAAATACTATTATGCTATAATTTTTAGTTGTGACTTCTTATGCAGTTTAAGTGACATAAATTTAATCCAAAAAATTACTTGCTCTCAATAACAGGAGCAAACAATTATTATTTTTTATGGCTATTTAAAAAAAAAAAGCGTACCTAAAAAAAAAGTGTACCTAAAAAAAAAAGCGTACCTAAAAAAAGTTCAAAGGATTATTTTTTTAATATTTAACTGTGATTTAACTAGAATCCAAGTCAAATATTTTAAACACTAATTCTTGATCTTTATTTAAAATATTTAAATAGAATCTATGCTCTAGTTTAAATTGCATATGACTAAAAAGCCTTTTTTTGAAATAATTTTTGTATGTTAAATTGTTTAGCAGTTGTAATTGTCTATTAAGAGCTCCATCAATCTGAATTTCTTAAGATGGATTTTCTTCAGCTTGCTCTTTTTTGCCTTTTTCAAAATCAATCCCGTGGTCTCGATGTTCAAGACACAAATTGTGGATAAAAAATCCACACATGATAAGCTTAGAGGCACCTTTAACTTTATGCAACCAAAATCCAGTTTTTAAAGCATAACCCCTGTTTTTAACAATTCCAAAACAACGTTTACATAAATTTCTGGTTTTTCGTTGGGCTATGTTGTAGCGTTTATGAGCACCATCTGGATCATCAGGAAAAGGTGGAACTAACCATTCTGTACATTGATAAGCAGAGTCAGCCAAAAATACACCCATTAAAAGAAAACTCTCCGCTTTTTAAATTTGTTCCATAGGTTAGAATTTCTTAGAACCTAACAATAATTAAATCATAATATTTAAATATGAACTACATTATACTATTATTCGAGGCCCTTCAAATAATACACGTATTCCTCAAATTTTGATGTTCCGGAGAAAAATTTCAACAAGTATCTTTTCTGAAACATCAACTTTTTAAAAAAAAAAAAGCTTTTCTAATTTTACATGGTACTCTTAACATGTTCGAGGCCAGTATTTTTCAATTATAGCAAAAATTGCAAAATTACAGCAAAAACCACTGCCGCAAGGACAGTCACTTACTATTTGAATTGCCCCAATTCTTCAATAATTGTAAAAAAAAAATATTAACCGTCTTACATGTGAATTGTGTCACCTTCATGGACTATTGGTTGATGCTTAAAATATGGATGTGTCAGATCCGCATACTGCCAATTGCGTTTTATGCTAAGGAAGCGAAGCCTATAAATTAGAGAATCTTCATCTGCACAAGGAGAATTAGAAAGGAATATATGAAAAACCTCCAATTTCCATAAACTTTTGTGGAAGAGAAGAGCAATCATTGGGACACCTTAAGATTTCTTATCGAATCTAATTTTATAAGATATCAATTTTGAAAATACTATACTAAACATAGTTATAATTTACTTACAAAAAAAAAAAAACAACAACTTTATATAACAACGTAAGTAGTCTAATTAACTAAGTCGCTAACATCGGATATGGAATCGCATACAACGTGGATAATACGATAGATTGTGTTAGGAGAGATTCCATGACAGTCTCTAAGAACATGAAAAAAAAACATTTGTGCCAATAAAATGAAGAAATATCATAGTTTCTTGACGTGCTGAGATGCTATGATTTTGCTTTGTATAATACTGCAAATCATCTTTAAGTTCAGTTTCTGAATAATCTAATACAGCTCTTGGGACTCAATACTTCTTTCGAAAAACGTTGTCAGAAACATCTTTGTCAAAAAAACGACCATTTAACGTAACAAACAAAGAAGGTATAAGTAAGCACATGTCTAGTTGTTTATTTAAAAATATGTACCCTTCATCCAGACAGCCTTATCTAGATTAAAATTTAGTAATTGTTAAGTAATAATGTTGTTTACACCAACCTCTCTACCAACCTCTCCAGGCAACCAGTGGTGAAGCTCATTTTCTGCAACTTCAAAACCTATATCTTAATCTGAAAAAGCTATATCCATGTTCATCTTTTAGTTTTACACTCAGTTCTTTTAAACAGAAAATACTAGAATGCACACAAAATGTGGCATAACAAAATGTGTTATAAATAACGCAATGACGAAAAGGTTCACGGTTATCAGTGACGTTCACTTTTTCTTCTTTATAGCAATGGCCGAAAAAAATACAATTAGCGATAAAATCTTTGCGTTTACGCATTTTTTCACAAAAACAATTTACGTAAAAAATTACGTTTTTACGAAGGAATTTTCTTTCTCGAATGAAACTTTGAATTGTTTATAGCATTGGCTCCAGGTTTCATAAAAAAAATTAAGATTGTTAAGGTGAAAAAACTCAGTTACTTTACGGAACACCAACAGCCGTAATAGCCTCAGAAAAAAATATGATATTTGGTTAGAGTAAGTCTTAGATAAATAGTTATCAAAACAGTTAGATAGGTGCCCCGTATTAAAGCAGGTAGTAAAAAGTAGGATACGCTAGCCACTGATCGCGTTATCTTGCATTCCGCATAAAGTTACTTTGTCATATACCGTATAAAAATAAACATAGTTTAAATCTATATATTAAATGTGCTATCGAAAATATTCGTTTATAAGTTTTTATTAATTTATAATGCATTTTCTTTAAGCGGTAATATTTGTTTATACTTAATTTGTATTTAATTATAATTTTTACCGTTCAATTTGTTTTTATCCAATTTTAGATCTATGCCGTTTTAGTGGATTTATTTACGTTTAAAAATGTAAACCGCTTAAGTAGAATTATTAGTATTATATTTAATTTATATTTAATTATAATTTATGCCCCTCAGATTAGTTATTCAGTTAATATTAAGTTATAAGTTATGTCCTTTGACTAGAAATATTTGTTCATATAAGATTATGATTTAAACACTAATATTGGAGTTTTTCGTTTTTTAAAGTTGTATACCCTATCACTGGAGTTTTTAGTTTTTAAATACAATTATAATTTCTTTAGCATTTGTAGAGTTATTTGTATTATATTAGTTTATACTTAGATATAAAGTTGTGACTTTAATCTAAGTATTTTAATAATGTTTAAGTGGAGTTATACGTTAAAAATGTATATAGTGGAATTATTTGTTTTTAGAAGAATTATTTGTTTTATACTTAGTTTATATTTAATTATAATAAATAGCTTATTGCTGGAAATTTCTGTTATATAATTAGTTTATATTTGATAAAAAGTTATGCCGTTATAACGTAATTATTTGTTTTATACTTACCCATTGGCACCGGACCAAACCTATAAGAATTTATAAGATAAATATACAAAAACATTTACAAAGACCAAAAAATTTATAAACGATTTCCATCTTTGTGCCAAATACAGCCAAATTACTCAACTCATTAGACATAAAGCACAGTTTGTTATGAAAAATTTTCCATTTATTTGTGATAAAAGTTGTGTTCTGTGCTCCTTATAGCACCCTTTAATGCCCTAAAGCTAGATATCACTATAAACTTGTAAACCACTCTTACTCCTATATTTTAATACCACGTTATAGACATTTTGACAAGTATTGAAAAAGTTATAACAGTTAGCGTTAAGAAAACTTTATTTTGACCATAGTTTCTTTTGCAATTCTATATATTCAAATTTTGTCTCTAAAAAACTCATAACTTTTTTCCTTGAATAATTCAATTTTGATACTTATTTTCACCTTTAAAATACAGTATTACTGTTCTTTACAACATTATATAAAAATCTAACATTGATTTAAAAATTAAATGTCACATACTTAATTAAAATATAAAAATTTAAAATCCGTGCACATATCGTTTGCTATATGATAAGTCTTACCTGCCCATAAATCATTATCTTTATGTATGTTATAATAAAAGCATGCAGTTTCTGTACTAAAAATAGAATAACAGCATGAGGTTTATTGACTAAACAAATGTTTGAATTATTATTATAAATGTTTTAGGTAAAAAAAATTTCACCTTGCAACATGTTGGTTCATGCAAATGTAAAAATTAAACCTTTCATAGTCTATATATATTCCGCGTCCATAGTATTCTAATAAAATTAAAAAAAAAAGTTTTTTGAAATGATTATATGCAAAAGTTATTCAAAAATTTTAATCTAATTAAACAATTACTATTTTATTAAATTTAAATACATATTAGTGAAATACCTGAAAATATTTTTTTAAACATGTTATTTACATATACTATTTTAAATATATATTAGTTGTACAGATCCGTAAAATGACGATTTTGGTATGCTGTATACGGTTATTATACGGTTGAAAAATAGTTTATAAAAAATTGCTTTAGAGTAATTTGCACACTTTTTATTATAACCTTAACTCTGCTAGTTAATTTTAAAATAACAAGTCTGAACATAAATTAGTTCCACTTTAAAAACGGAAGTTGTCTCTTTACTCAAATAAGAAATTTAAGACTGTAACAAAGTTTTTATTGAAGAAGTTATTTTACATTGTTCCAATGTTTTAATGACGTATTCACATACGTCGTTAAAACATTGGAACAGTGTCGCGCGTTTCGTTAACCGTATATATATATATATATATATATATATATATATATATATATATATATATATATATATATATATATATATATATATATATATATATATATATATATATATATATATATATATATATATATATATATATATATATATATATATATATATATATATATATATATATATATATATATATATATATATATATATATATATATATATATATATATATATATATATATATATATATATATATATATATATATATATATATATATATATATATTTATATAATATATACATATATAATACGTAATAATGTAATATATGTATATATACAGCCGACGTAAACATAATATATACAAGTATATTAAATTGATAACGCTTAATCATCCGAACAAAAAAGATGTTTGTGTTGATTGTGGTTTGATATTTTATTAATCACGGAAGATTTTGTTTAAGTTATATAATTTCTTAATAGGTATATTTAGTCGAATACATTGGATCAACGTTGGGTTTTATTTGTAAAAACAATCAATTTTTTGCGATGTATTTACATACCTTAACTCAACGTTGATTTATATACATTGAATCAACGTCGAAAAACATACATTGGATCAACGTTGGGTTTAGTTTGTAAAAACAATCAACTTTTTGCGATGTATTTACATACATTGGAAAAACGTTGATTTATATACATTAAATCAATGTCGAGATATATTCATTGGATTGACATTGGGTTCAAATCGTAAAAGCGAGCAAATTTTTGCCAGATGTTTTTATTTCCGTTAATAATAATTTTATTATTAACCGAATGACATTGGATCAACGTTGGTTTTGCATTGGAAAAAAGACCCGACGTTCGCGATGGTTTTACATACGTTGGCCCAATGTAAGTGTGCTAGCTGGGTAGCGTGATCAATAGTTGCTCGATTATTAAGTTTGATTTTCTCTGAGCAGTAAGATGATAGTCATCCAAAGCTCAAATCATGTACATAAATAAAATAAAGTTTTTCATGCTTTTTTAATATTTCCAATTATTTTAGAAAAAACAATAAATAAACAAACAAAAAAAATTAAGGCAAAGCAGTTTATGCAAAAATTGATTTTTGGAAGGTTTATAGATGTTTTTTAAATTATACATGCATGATAATTTAATTAAACGGTCAGGAAATCAACTTAACCTCTGTTAGTGGTAATGACGTTCACACGAGTCGTAAGATTTGATAAAATTAAAACTTTAGACTCACAAAAACATTACTTTGCCCGCTCTTAAAATCAAAAAAAGAATTGAAAGAACTAATGTTTTAAAAAAGTGTTTTTTAAATTTAACTTAATTAGTATAAGATAATTTAAAATCGCCCCCTCCTATTTTTAACAAATCTATTAGGTAGTTTTTATTTTTTACAAATGAAAGCACTTTACAAACACATGACAATCTGTTTTTTAAATCAAAACTCCCTTTTTCTATATATATTTCTAAATAAGTGCCCAACCTGTTTTTTTAAAGATTTTTATTCTAGCGTTCATAAAAGTATGTTCTGTAAAAGCTACGTTTAAATCCATTTAAATTTTAAATTAATTACTGTCAGTGAATTTTAATCTTAACATTTTATTTATTTTTACCAAATATATGCCTCAAAAATAATTACAAAGAGGGTAAACATCAGTTTAAAAAAAATTCCATGAAAGATTTTTTACCCTGCATCTTGCTGATAGTTCTATAAGGAAAACTCAATTTATTTCCAAGAAAACTTTCTGGGATAAATAGATTAGTGTAACTAAATTAAAAGCTTAAACAGGTAAAAAGTTAAATAAAGTTATTTTACGCATCCCAGTTCAACAACTATCAATGGTGATAATAGTGTTTACAGAATTGACAAAAGTATTCCTTAGTATACTGACAAATTGCTCAAATAAATTATGCTTTTAAAAATGAATTCTCAAGACACACAGTAAATAGAAGATTAGTTAATCGTAATTATGATTATACAATGATGCAAAGAAATCAACGCTTAAACAATCAGATACTTTAAAGAAAACAAAATCAATCCACTTTAGGGAATTAATTTTTTAACCAAAAACTGACCAAAGCTCATTTTTAGGAATGCAGAGTCCTTAAAGGAACTCGAGATTCGAAAGTCAAAAAAAGATAAATTCTACCTAGCTTTTAGTATTCAGCAGTTCTGAAAATATAAAAAAACTTATAGACTAATGTTGAAAAATAAATTACGACTTTTATATTAAAGAAACAATTAATTTTTAAACCCTGAATCTTTAGGTTTAATGGGAGGAAGGACTCGGGGGGCTCTGTGCTTACAAACATCAACTTTCAAATGAATAAATGTTGTAAGTAATTTATTTTTTTAATAGATAATCATATTTTAAAAAATAGTAATATAAAGCCGGAATCTATTTGGAACTTTAGATCCCTCCGACTGTAACTTCCGCTGAAAAACTAAGAAAAATTTTATCTTTATTATAAATTTTATATTTATGTTTAAATAAATCTTGGGTCTAAATATATGGTCTAAAATTTTAAAATTATATATTTCTCCACAAATAACAAGGAAACTGTGACTTTTATGCTAAGTATAAGTTTTTTGATGCTTTTTTTTATAAATGGATTTTCAACATTTAATTATTACACATTACTTTTTATATTAGCATATTCCACTACCAATAATAAAGTTTTAATAAATTTTTCACTTTTGTTTAATGTAACTTTTAAAGACTTTTTTTTTATTATTTATTAGCGGAGGGTTGCGTTGGATGAACAGATTTTTATAATGGTATAACCATTTTTACGGGTAGAATAATGATTTTTTCGCGAACTTTTTTGGTTAAGGATGTTCATCCAAGTTCAAAGGTGTTTTTTATTTAAACTTCTTGGTTGCATAGTTAGTATTCTTTGATTTCTTTACAGTTAAAAAAATTTATCATCCCCGTTTTTTATTATTCAATTCTTTATTACTTAATTTTTTCTAATTATATCTAATTGAAACAAAATCATCAAATATTTATTACATCCTCAATATTTTATGCTAATCTACTGCTAATTCCATGGGTTGCATGAAATAATACATAAACTGCTGTCATGCTATTTAAACTATGATAGTACTTGGTGAAGTTGCTTAAGATAATACGTTTTTTGACGCTCAAGAGAAGATGCGGCTTTTTATTGAAAAAAGCAGTTTTTATAAAGCTGTTCTCCGCTGAGCTTTATTTTTGTATTTCAATTGCAAAATTTTTTTTTTTAATTAGTATCAATAATAATTTTAGTGGTAGGAAACATTTATTATTTTTTTAATGATTGAGATTATTGCTTTCTACTTAAGAATAGTCCTTAAAAGATACAATTTTATTTAATTTTTTTTTTTGTGATTATATTTTTGTTATTTTGAGTTTTTTTGAATTTCATTAAAAAGTGTGTCTTAGGAAACTGATTTCTTGAGATGAGATGATTGGGTGTGTTGAAAATAACCCAATTTTTGATATTAAGATTTTTTGTTTTTAATGAACTATTAATTTATATTCTTTCAGAGAAAAGATTAAATTATTATAATTTGCAAAAATAAATGTAAATATTATAATATTTCAGCTGCATAAAAACAATAGTATACATACGCAACCTTCCGCTAATATTTTTTGATTTTCGTTTTGTTATTTATTTTGAAAAAATACGGCGGATTTTAATAAATTTTATACATTTTTAAGTAATGCTGCTATAAATTATTGTTATGCTTAATTAAAGTACCAATAAATAATTGTTTCAAGTCATTTTATTCTCTATATAATGCTTCTAAAAGTTGTTTCTAAATAACATATATATTTATTAGCTCAATGGGTAAATGTACTGGTATCAGCACCAGTACCCTAACGTTTCCGTAGGTTTGAACCTATTGCTAAAAATATTAATTATTTCAGTTTTCTGAATCTTGAAGTTCTTTAAAAATGTATAAATAAAAATGTTTAATGTATTAATAAAAAAACAAAAAAAATTGTTAGAACAATTTGAAAAAATATTTTTTATTATGCATATATTATATTATTTAGCATAAGTTAAATAATATAATATATGCATAATAAAAAATAATTTTTCAAATTGTTAGAACAATTTGAAAAAATATTTTTTATTATGCATATATTATATTATTTAACTTATGCTAAAGACTTTTACACTATCTTTACTCAACTTAACATACTAGTATTTATCTTTAGAGATGTTTGTACATATCAATATACAACCCTTGGGAAACCGGCTAGCGAATAACTAGCCATAATCGTAACGATAAAGACAGCAATTTGGCGACGAGTATCGCTACCTTTTTTAAGTTAGAGGAAAGCTAATGATATTTGTAAAGAAAAAGACAGCAACTTGGCTACGAGGATACTAGCTCAATAAGTTAAAGACCCACTGGCTGTTATAGCTAGCGTCATTTCATAATAAAATCGCTGTCTGAAAAATTTTGAAATGTAGCTAACAACCAGATTTTGATTTTTAGATATTTTGTAGATAGTTA